GATTTCTTTTCTTCCAACGGTGCTGGATAAGCATAGAGAGATGGTTTGGCTGCGGATTTAAACTCCATCTTTGGCATCTTCAGATCAGAGTTCAAACCAATAACGCAAGTTGGAGTAAATGCCAATGAAAGCGAATGTGCCAATGGGAACCAATACCAGTACTGGGTGAATACGAGCATTCCTACAACGGCTTGCAAATTTGTGTGCCCAGTGCGTGATTGCAAGGAAAGTGTAGCATTGCGCCCACCCCCATCAATTATACCTACGGAATAGAATTATCATAACTTTGTTATTAAAATAACCAAGAAATCTTGACTTTTACTTACCCTGGGCGAGGATGGCTCCAAACTTTGCCATTACATCTTCGTGTTTATTGCTAATCACTTCGGCATAAAGTTGACGGAAGAAAGTCGTTTTCGGGCATGTTTGGTCAGTATGTTGTATTATAATCATAGCAGAGGCAATGAGCGCACCTTGGCGCACAAAATTCACCGGATCAAATTTAACCATGGGTTCCAGGAGAGCGATTGCCTCGCGTAGACCTGTGCCAGCACAGGCAATACCCAAAGCCATAGCCGCGCCATAGCGAACGTGTGGATTGTAAGACTCAGCGAGTAAGCTTACAACGGAGGGACATTGTTCAGGTGTACGGAAAAGTATGAAACCAATTGCGGTAACCGCAGCCCGCCGTACATCATCGTTTACATCGGAAACTGCGACATGCAAAAGTCTGCGGATAGCTTTGTTGCTACCAGAACCGTTGTAAGCCATAGCAATGGTGTACATGCCAGAGCGTCGTAGAACAGGATCTTTGTCAGTGGATAAACTGGTAACCAAAGGATCGGCTTCTTCAAGGCGGGCAAACATAGTCAATGAAATACCAACAGCTAATCCACGTAGAATTTTCTCGTGCTGTGTTTCCTGGGCATAAGACACCATATCCTCGATTGCTTGTGCATTTTTAGAGCCCAACATAACCATACCCATGGCAATGCCGGCGGCTTCGCCAGTAACAGCATCATCTTGGTACAAATTGAACTTGAGTTGCTCATATAAGTCTTGACGATGAGTGCCCATTGCCGCTAAACCTAATCCCAAGCAGCCGCCATGACGTACATTCTCGTTTTGAGCATCCTTCAACTGCTGCAAAAGATAGTCGATGATGTTGGCACCATGATTGGCGTGAATCAGACCTAGGGCATATAGGCCACCTCCTTCAGAATAGCCCGAGCTAGGTCCGGTCTCTTTTGGTAAGTAACTTTGCATAAGACCCAAAGAGTCTTTCTCGTGTCCGCGGTGGATAACACCCAAGGAAGCAGTGGCAGTCAATTTTGCCCAGTTTGTGGCTCGCGCCAGCCAATCCAGATTATCGCGTAAAAATTGATCCGATGTTGTACCAGCATGCATGAATGCGTTTGCAATTACAGTAGCAGTGTGACAAATAGATACACGCACTGCTTCTTTTGTGCCTCGCAGAATTTGCAGGTCAGCATGATTACTGCGGATTAAGAACTGCAGTTGAAGATCAATGGTTATTTCGCCGGACAAAATAGAAATGAGCTTTTCAATATTTTTCTGGTGAGCCTTCTCTGAGTCGTTCAATGAATCGATAGTCCTCTCAATTTTAGTATCACCTATTAAACGAAATCGATGGGAATTTGTGTTATAGGTATAGATAAATTAATGAATATGAGTGTACATGAATGAGTACCTTTGTGTTCTTTTGGAATAGTAGCTTATGCCGGGAAGCTCGCTTTAGTAGAATGCGGCATTTCTTTTACTTAATAAGAACATTGATTTGATGGTATCGGAACTATTTCTTGCGCGTTTATTTGTCAAAAGTTTTTCAACGGCTCGGCGGCAGTGAGTCATTCGCAATCGTGTGCTGCAAATGCTGCATTATACTAAAGCCAGCCTTTCGTCATAAGCTAATATTCGGTACGAACACAGATATATAAATACATAGGAAAAAAGCAATTAAATAAGCAAACAATGTAATTGGCAGGATTTGTTATAGGTCTTAAAAGACGGTCAATTAAAAATTAATTGTAATATTTACCCTCAGCATCTCCAGATGAATCTTCTGTGGGCTTAGGTTTTTCATCGGTAGGTGATTTCGATGCCTCGTCACTGGTAGATTCGTTTGTGCCTTGTGGTTTGAAGGTCGACGGCAATGCTGTTGGAATGGGTGCTGTTTCTTTAAGAGCTTGAAGAACTTTACCTAAAAATTCTTGTGTAGCCGATTCATATAAATCAAAAGCAATCTGGTATGCCATTAAATTATTTCCTTCAATCGAAGAACGAGTTAATTTATCTAGAACTTCGGCCACTGCAAGTGGGTCCTCCAAAAATATTAAACATTGACACATGTTAACGTAGTCTGGCACACCCAAGTCTCGATATAAGCCAACCAAACAACGCAATACTTCATTACGGAAACCACGATTCTGAATCAAGGACATAGTCACATTGTAGGCATAAGCCAACATGCCACTAACTTCATCCGATTTCATAATGGACTGTTCAAATATATCCATACGACGCGTTTCCAAGGCGATGCCTAATGCCTGACGATATTGGCCGTCATCCAAACAACGCTGGATCATGCGGTTAACAATTGCTTCCAAACGTGTATCAACTGCCTTTGCTTCCTTCGGATTTTCAATGAAAGCAATGCGTTGAGCAATGTAGAAATCAATGCACTTGGCTATTATAGTTTCGGTGTATTCGTTACGTGCATTTACGTCGAACAAATCGCCAGCACCCAGTGCATAGGTTAGTGCGTCTTCAAATGATCCCAAATGATAAAACACTTTAGATGCTACCATGCCAGCCAATTTATTTTCAGGAAATGAACGATCTTCATGCAACATTTCAATTTTTTCGATGGATTCAGAGATCTCTGGCCAAAACTCATCCACAATGTGGTCTAGTTTCTTCAGAGCGAATACCTTTAAATCGGGCATGGGCTCATCTAGCAAGGAGATGATACCAGCGGCGGACGTTAACGTCATTGTGGTAATGGTCACTGTAATTGATAAATGACAAAGAAAACAATTTTTAGGTTATGTTTAATTTAGTTAGAGTCAGTGAAAAGTTAGAGAAATGCATTCGTTCTTGATTTTAAGGTAAACGATATATAATACTTTAAATAAATTTATAATTAATGATAAAACGATTTGTTCCTAAAACTTTACTACTCTATATGTGTAGCTGCAGACAACGGTGCACTATTTACCAAATCACAGATACCAAATGTTAAAAGCCTGTTTATATTATATTCATACCTAAACAGCTTCAAACAACAAAATTTTCCACTTAGACGTTGCTTTTTATTGTTCAAATACCGAATTCACTTATTTTTCAAACAATAATCTTAAACTTTTAGCGTTTTTCACCCCGACTAACAAAATGCAATAGAAAAATCCAAAACTGCAAATCACTTCTGTCAAACTGGCTGCTCCCATGCAGGGTTGCTACTGCATCAAAAAAATACTTACCATCCACTTGAGAAAAATCTAGCGAATCTAGCAAATATCTCCCAATTACTTTTTTTTAGTTTCTTTTATTTTATTTTATTTATTTATTACAATTCAGTTAGTCTACAGAGTATACATTCTTACAGAGAATAAAAACTTTTTTTGTTCTATTTGTTTAGTTTCAATAAAAATTAAAATCGTTTATTAAGGTATTTTTGTCGCCGGCCGTTTGTGTTTTTTTTATTTAACAATTGCCATTTATAAAACTGCCGCTGATTTGTTTCAATGTTTTTGCGAACAATCATAGCGTGTAATTACATATCTCTCAATTTTTTATTTGAAGAATCATTTAAAATGTTTATTCAATAAAAAGCTCCTCAACATTCCAGTATAATTAGTTTTGAATAGAGCACGATATGTTCGCCTTTTTATACATATACATACACATATATCGTATGTACATATGTATATTAAAAGTATGCATTAAAGCGTTGGAAAATTAATGCAATAAAGTAGAAAGGACTTTATAGTATAAATACAACTACAAAAAATACAGCAGGAACTAAAATTTAGTTTGTTTTTTTTCAATCAAAATACTTTAACAAAAATCTACAACAAAGAGAAAAATTTACCTTTTTACCAAATCACACTTTTTTTCTACCAAGTTTGGTAATAATTTAGGAAATTGACAGCCCTGCTCCGTTGTCATAAGCACCATGGGGTATGTTCAGTGTGTTATTGTTGGCAGAATGTCTAGCGTTGCTGTATTAATGCAAAATTAATAAGGAACAAATTAACTTCTTTCAAAAGTTGAATGCAAATTATTCTGAGCCATAAGGATAAACTTTACTACACATTACTTTTATGTACCCACCAACAACGATAAGATGAAAATATTAAAAAGATTAAGATAAACCTAAGACCTTTTTAAGTGTATATGCCGTTTTTAATTAAATTTCTTAACTCCGCCTCAATAATGCCATACTAAAAATTTTACGATGTAAATATACCGTAATATATAGGAAATGTTAAGATTTTTCTGATAAATACTTAGATATCCAATAAATAATCATTAAGGGCCAATTTCATAGTGCGTAGTTAACTCAGAAACGGCAGTTAACTAGAGATTTTCAGTACAAAAATCTATAGTTAACTGGCGATTCTGAGTTAACTACGCACTGTGAAATTGGCCCTAAAACGTGCATATATGTACATATGGCAACTCCACATTTGCAGTTGGCTCCGACGGAAACGGATATCACTTGACACTTTATACCGCTGACTTAAGAGGAAAGGAAAATGAAATTTAACGGGTGATTTTTTAAGAGCTTGATACCTTTTTTTTAAAAAAAAACGCATAAAATTTGCAAAATCTCATCGGTTCTTTATTTGAAACGTTAGATTGGTCCATGACATTTACTTTTTGAAGATAATTTCATTTAAATGTTGACCGCGGCTGCGTCTTAGGTGGTCCATTCGGAAAGTCCAATTTTGGGCAACTTTTTCGAGCATTTCGGCCGGAATAGCCCGAATTTCTTCGGAAATGTTGTCTTCCAAAGCTGGAATAGTTGCTGGCTTATTTCTGTAGACTTTAGACTTGACGTAGCCCCACAAAAAATAGTCTAAAGGCGTCAAATCGCATGATCTTGGTGGCCAACTTACCGGTCCATTTCTTGAGATGAATTGTTCTCCGAAGTTTTCCCTCAAAATGGCCATAGAATCGCGAGCTGTGTGGCATGTAGCGCCATCTTGTTGAAACCACATGTCAACCAAGTTCAGTTCTTCCATTTTTGGCAACAAAAAGTTTGTTAGCATCGAACGATAGCGATCGCCATTCACCGTAACGTTGCGTCCAACAGCATCTTTGAAAAAATACGGTCCAATGATTCCACCAGCGTACAAACCACACCAAACAGTGCATTTTTCGGGATGCATGGGCAGTTCTTGAACGGCTTCTGGTTGCTCTTCACTCCAAATGCGGCAATTTTGCTTATTTACGAAGCCATTCAACCAGAAATGAGCCTCATCGCTGAACAAAATTTGTCGATAAAAAAGCGGATTTTCTGCCAACTGATTTTGGTAATAAAATTCAATGATTTGCAAGCGTTGCTCGTTAGTAAGTCTATTCATGATGAAATGTCAAAGCATACTGAGCATCTTTCTCTTTGACACCATGTCTGAAATCCCACGTGATCTGTCAAATACTAATGCATGAAAATCCTAACCTCAAAAAAATCACCCGTTATAATTGTATTACCTACTAGTGAAACTGTGTTCGCTTTTACAGCATACTAAAAAAAGCGAAAAAGAACAGTTATCAAGGTAAAAGGATGCTTTCAACGGCAATTTTTTAAGGAAGATATTAAAAATTTGTGACAACTTGACCTACTTTCCGCTCAACATCGCACACGATATATACATACCTATATGTTTACCTATATGAATTTGTATGTATTTATGTCTGTTCGCCGCACACAAGACGCCAAGAAATCAAAATCAAGTTCAATGCACCGATACAGGCCGTAATTAACTATGCGAATCTTGTACAACTGCACCGGCCTCAACACGCCGCATTTCAGGTAAGCCAACTCGAATGCGAAAATGTAAGATGTAGACGCAAATATTTAGTTACGGTGGTACCGGTGTCAAACCGGCTTTGTGGACACACATTCTCAGCAGCCGCCACTTGCACCACTTTTTCCTTGTATGCACATAGCTCAATTTAATCACTTAACTGTGCCCATTTCGCGTGTAAGCTTTTGTGTATTCATATGCACATACGTATGTATGTATGTACATATATGCAGATACGGGACAGCGGAACTAATGGATAGCCATAGACTTACACTCGAATTTATACTTGTTTTCTTTTTTTTTCGTGTGCATACATACAACTTATTTGATTTTTATCAGTTGAATGCAGCTCACTTCAGTGCACTACACAAGACGCCTTTGATTACGCTCAAATCTGGTAATTGCGTCCATTGTCAAGGTGAGTGCGTCACGTTTAATGTCAGCTACAATCAATTGGTAGCGGTTGCAACTATTCGCTATGTCGCAATTCACGTTTGCCATTGCTGTGTAGAGTTTAAATAGCTACAGAAATTACATCAATTAAATGAATTCGCTGATGAAGGCGTTTAAATTTATTGCCACTCTTCATTTCTGAAACTAAAAGGAGTGAAGACTGCTTCTCGCTAAAGGAAATTGTGGTTGGGGTTTTCTAAGAGTTGCTTTAGTACGACAATATGTATCACGTTTAACCAGTTCGAATTGATTTACAATTAGAGATGGCTTAATACGAAATACATAAGTACATACATACTTATGACCGCGCAAAACTGCGTGCAAACAATGCGGAAATAAAGCTAATATGGGCGTTATGAATGTTGTATGCGCTCTTTTAAACATATTAGGGGTATTCTCTGAGTCTTGCAAATCCCCTGAACGGTGCACAAATTGCACAGATTGCACGGTAAAAACCGGTTTTCGTATGGGACAGCTTTGCGAACCGTGCAATCCGTGCAACGTGCAAGGGCTTTGCAAGACTCAGAGAATACTCCTTTTACTACCAAGGCATAACCTAGTGTAATAAGCAAAGTGAAATCAATATATGACATTTTTGTCATTGCTTTAACCCATTTGAAACTAGCAACATTATAAATTAATTTCAAAATAAAAAAATTTGATTTCAAATCAAAAAATAATTGTTTTAGAAATTAAAGGACAAAAAGAAAAAAAAAATCGTTTAAAATGCTAGATACTTGCTGTTTATGCAGAAGCACCCACAACAATGAGGTATGTAGGTATGTTTCGTGTGCCAACAGATGTTACGCAAAGAAGGGAGCGGATAAATGCGTGTGGTGTTAAACTAACTGGATCATCGAAAGTTTGCGCTCTGCACTTCAAATCGAATGAAATTATTTATGCAAGTATTAATGCCAAGAGAAGACAAGACGCTTCGATCCAGATGCAGTACCATCAAAGATGTTACCTGCTATTTCATCAGATGACAGGTAATGATCAAATTGTGGGTATGTTCTCAAATGCATTAGTGCAAAGGCATATCGTGAAAATAACGTCCAATAACTACAGATGTGAAGTATCGCAAAAAATGTATACTTTCGCCAACTTAGTAATAATAGATGGCCCTGTGTGTATATATATACATACATATATTGGGAAATCTTTTGAGAAGGGGACATTCTGCGTACCGGCAATTTGTTTCCGAGACAAAGCAGCTGCGCTGCCAAGTGCGATTTCTGTACCTTCGTCAATACTATTTATATGTGTAAATATCAGTAAATAGTTATTCACAAAAAAAATACGGTTTAAATTACCAATTTATTTGCTAAAATCGAGAAAATCAGGAAATTTCTAGTGCAACTCGCATAAATTCTGAAAAATAAAATTCAAATTTGAAAGTCTAACTTGACTAGGCTAATAGGAATCAATTTTAAAGATATAGTTGAAATAGAGTAGCAATTAAAAAATATTAATCACACAGGTTATAATGCACTTCAACTACGTTGAGAAGTAAGAAATTTTGGTAAAAAAATTCTGCTATTTAAAAAAAATACAAATTATTGAAAATCCTCCATCTCAATAGATTTCCCCATATACATATATGTATGTATATATATTGTTTTAATCAAGTATCGAATGAATTTATGTAATTTTAAATTACTGTTTGTTGATTGTTGTTAATTTATTTGCAGTACTGTACCAAATACTTAAAAATTATGTAAAGGCCTCGAAGTATAGTTTATTAAAATATATACTTGTGTTGCTGTTTATTTTATTACGAGCATATCGACTACCGGCGGCCAGTTCGAAAACGCCCTATCTAAGAAAACTTTTCAAGAACGCCTTACTTCAGAATTTGATTGAAGAACGCTCTATTTCGGAATTTTATTGAAAAGCACCCTATCACGGAATTTTGTTGAAGAACGCCCTATCTCAGAATTCGGTTCAATCAAATTCTGCAATAGGGCGT